CCCAGTCTGTTGTGATTGGTCTACCGCGTGCGTCTTTTGAATATCTGTCTGTATTTTCTGTCATAAAACAAAAACAAACCTATTTTTTTATCTGAAGTATATTCATACCTTATGTTTTATGTGACGTGTAGCAGATGAAGTCATATATTCTTGTGACAGCTGTGAAGTCAGTGTACAAAACACAGCACAGAGATTTATACACATCCAGAGAGAACAGACATTCACGCTTCAGGTGATAAACTTTTCTTCTTTTCTTTTTTACCATAAACAATAATTATCTGTGTAATTGTGTTTATCTGTTCAAGAGTTTTGGGTCAAGTTTGAGTGTTTGGAGATTAATGAATTAAAAGAGACTGTATATGCAATAAGGTAGGAGAGGCTGTGCTTTGTTACTTATTTATGATACAGCACTTGCCTCGCGTACCTTATTGCTTTTATAAAATGGCTACCACACATTTAAAATATGAAAGTAAAAAAAAAAAAAAAATTATTATTGCAACTTTCATGAAGTAAAATCACTAAAAGCCTTCCTTCTACTTGAAAAACAAATAAAATAAATAGTCCCTGTCTGTGAACTGCAACAACGTTCCAATGTGTAATATCAAAGTCCTTTTAGGTAAGTCATGCCACTCGGCCGCCATCTTGGCAACGCCTCCGGGCTAACAAGACCAGGCTCCTATCTAAATGAATGGGCAGAGAGTCAGAACTGCACTTTTACTGGTTACCGGGACATAAAAACTGCATGTATAGAAACAGCAGTAAAAAATGATAAAAATCGCTGGAAATGTTTGATGACTTTGCCCCAAAATAAGGTTTAAAACGCCTTTTCCCCACAGGCTATACTTTTACTGCGCTTGCACAAGGGTTCTCTCGCTCTGTCGCGAGCGCTGCACAGTTTCAAACACAGTGAACTAACCGTTTTATAACATTTCATAATGAAGTCCTCTGGTTATTTGAATGTAAACAAATATATATATATATATATATATATATATATATATATATATATATTTTATTCTAACCTGGATCATTCAAACTGGATGCATTAAAAAAAATTCAAATCTTACTTATTCTGAGTTCATTGACACAGGCTGAATTCACTGGATCATTTACGCTTTTATTTTCCAGTAAATCACAGTTGCAGATTATATTGCAGAAGACAAACACAAAGGAGATGAACAACTACACAGTGAACTTCACCACACCTGAAGAATCTACAAACTCCACAACTGATTCTTTCTGGTTACTCAAAAGTCTCCAAATTAGTATTGTCAGCATCAATCTCCTGTTTGGTTTCCCTACACACTGCTATATTATATGGCTCATCATCACAGGAACAGGAAGTGGAGTCGCATCAGAGTTCTTCATCCTCAATCTCTCTGTTTGTGAGCTTGGTGTTTGTCTGAATTGTTTGTTTTATATAATGTCAGTTTGCTTTCAGCGAATCTCAGAATTACTACTCTTTTTACTAGGCCTGTCCATCACTGGCCGTCCTGTGTTTCAGTGTCTGATCTGTGTTGAGCGTTACCTGGCAGTCGTTCAGCCTGTAACCTTTCTGAAGTACAAACCTCTCAGATATAGAGTGATCTGCTGCGCTGTAGCCTGGATAACTATTCTTGGCTCCTGCTTCTGTTCCTTGTTTATTGACTTCACAAAAAATGGACAAATGAAAAAAACAATTTTATCTCTGCAGTTCCTACCGACCCTCTCCATTCAGTTGTTTTGTGTTGTGGCTGTTCTCAGAGCTCTGAAGCAGACCGGACCAGGAGAGAGAAAAAGAGAGAGAGAGGAGGAAAACCACATGAAGAGACGAGCGTTTCAAATCATTCTAATTACTACTGTGAGCATGGCTATCATATATGGTCCATTTGCTACATTAGGATTGTTTACCATTCTAACAAACCACTATATTCATAAACTTTGGAACACTGGTCTGATTTGTTATATACTAGCAGGTTTTGTTCAGCCTGCTCTTTATCTGCACCGCACTGGGAAGCTCTGGTGCACTATGAAATGGTGATATATGATTTCATTTCATTGTTATTTAATCATTTTAAATAATTGATAAATTAATTTACCATTTTAAGTAATTTTATGCTTAATATAGTTATTTTTTATTGTGTTATACTGGTAAATTATAAATTCACTTTATGGAGCTGATTTATTGTTTTTCTTTGAACTGTGTAGCCATAGCTTCATGTGGTGGTATTAGTTACGTTATTTGTGCAAGTCAGTGATCTCTTTAAATAGGTGTAGGAATTTGCATGTAAAATACAGCTAGAACACACATTTCCATACGTTTGCATTGAATTATGCCGTTGACAACATGCATCTAAAATGCATTTTATGTATAAATTCTAATTACGATTTTCTGCTAATAAAATGCTGACTTTATTACATGCAATCAGTTATATTAATGAAATAAGCCATAACATTTGTTTAATAATTTTAAGTTTTTAAAATTTACAGTACTGCATATTTATATTTAATGAGTCTAACATAAAACATTTAAATAGTGTCATCTATGAAATTTATTTAAAGGGGTCATGAACCGGCTTTTTAAATTTTATTATATTGTTGTCTGAGGTCAACTTATGACGTTTGCTGGTTTTTGCATTCAAAAACATCAAAATGAATAAGTAATCGGCTATTTTGTACCCTAGTTTTGAGCCTATCTGAAATACGCTCGGTTTTTATGGGCGTCTCGCGCTGAAGCCTTGGAAGTAAACGCCCACTGCTGTGAGTGGATAACAGTTTTGCATATTATAATGAGTTTCAACTCACTCGTAGATGCACTTGGGGGAAATTGTTTTGAAAAAGTCCAATGTTATAAAATGGCAACCGGAATGATTCGCTCATACATGTTTCGACCCAGAGTCCGTGTGCTGCACAATTCCTGTCAGATCCAATATAGACGGCACAGCACCGTTCTTTACTTTAATCGGTCTGCAAATCCAGTCTTGTTTTGTTGACACCTTAGATGTCAAAAGCTCAAGGAAAATTTGATTTCTCAGTCCATCTCCCCTTTAAGTTCGATCAACTTAATTTAGTTACATTTAGGAAAGAGGAACTCTGCCCATAGGTCTATTTGATATGCATATCAGACTCAACAGCTTTTGATAATATATGAAATTTTACTCACAAAATGAATCATAAATAAATGCAAAAAAAAAGAAGAAGAAAACTTGTGTGATATGAACGGAGTGCACTGTAGTGTACAGAGGATTTGAATTACACATAAGTTACATTGTGATTCCTCTGTAAATGAGTTTCACAATGATAAATGTAGCTTTAATGTGGCTTCTGTGTCATGGAGGTGTGAAGTGGTTCAGAACAGGTTAGTGTTTAATGTTACAATGTTGTGGTTGACTGATTTTTGTTGATTGTTATTCCAATAAAGCACATAATGACACAGAGATTACATCAATAATCTTGACCTCCTGTCAACACAAATGCCAACACAAACACAAAAGTATTTATTCCCTCTTCCCTCTAATTTAAAAATTCTCAGTCTAAGAATTTGCATTTAAAGGGCACCTTTTATGCCCCTTTTTACAAGATGTAATATTGGTCTTGGGTGTCCCCAGAATGTATTTATGTAGCTTCAGTTAATTCATTATAACCATTTTAAAATGTCATTTTTGGGGCCTGTTTAAAAAGTGCTGTTTTGGTACATACGACCTTAAATGCAAATGATCTGCATATCCCCACCCTGCCTTTGGATGAGGGCGTCAATTGCATACCTATAGTCGGTCTAAGCAGAATGGCTGAGAGTCAGAGCCATGGAGAGAGAGTGAGAGACCCACTTTTTTGAATGTCATTCAGCCAAACTTTTGAATCGGAATATATAAATAGTCTCTGATCAGACCCTGATGACAAAGAGACTCCACAACACAACAGAACACTTATGTTTCCAAGAGACACTTATGTTTCCTGTCATTGAAACAATGGAGGATGTTGTACAGATCACAGAGAGCGGGGTCTATACCACAAACACACTGTCAATCAAACCCCTTGCTCAATTCTACGTTAAAAAGCGCTGAATCTTAGATCAGCTCGTTCTGAGACAGTGCATATGATTTATTGAGATTGTAAAAACAAAACACTGAGTGGATTTTTATCATTCTAGGGTGCTTTTGCTCACACACTGCCAACACACATTTATGTTCAAACAACATGTAAATGTGAATTTTGCATAATAGGTGCCCTTTTTGGGTGTTGAATAAGTGGCACCTGTGTTGTTTTAGTGTCAGATAAATGAATGATACTGAACAAAAATTGTTCCAGTGATAATTTCCTTTTTTTTTTTTACAGATTTGAGTGATTATTGATTTGAACACTTATACTAGCAAAATACAGTATATGCACTGAATGTGTGATAAGTCACTGCTTAAAAAAGGTCTGCCAAAAGCTTGAAAATAAAAGGCAACGTAAAAGAATAATCCAGTTGCTGTCGGACATCAAGGAGAAGTTGATAAATGTGGAAAATGTCAAATGTTGATCTGTCTTTTTGATTATAAATGTTGTCTTTTGCATACCTGGTGTTTTATGTGACCTGCAGCAGATGACGTCATACACACATCTGTGGCATGTGAAATCAGTGTACAAAACACAGCAGAGAGATTTATGCCCATCCAGAGAGACCGGACATTCACTCTTCAGGTGATAAACTCAAATTTATGAGTCAATTACATGTTTTATTAAAGATTAATAAGCAGAAACATTACCACTGTGTTGATTTGTCGTATAGGGCAAGTTTAATGAACGTTTGCAAAGAAATAAGAAAGGAAGTTATTTAAAATTAATTCAAGTGAAATAGCAAAAGTTAGTGGTAAGAATAGAAAGAGGTTTGTAGGCTATAAATGGCTACTGCATTTGATTTGTATAACCATTTTTTTTGCAGATTTAACAAAGATGTTCTCTGGTTCTTTGAACTTAATTAAAACTTCTCTCTTCCCATAAATCATAGTTACATTATTATGTTTTGTCCGCTGCTGAACTGAGGAAGACAAACACAGAGGAGATGAATAACTTTACATTGACCTTCACCACAACTGAAACATCAAACTCCACAACTCAGTCTTTTGAGTTAATAGACAGTCTGGAAATCTGTGGAAACATCATTGGTTTGTTGTTTGGTCTTCCAATAAACTCCTATATTATATGGCTCATCATCACAGGAACAGGAAGTGGAGTCTCATCAGAGTTCTTCAACCTCAATCTCTCTGTTTGTGAGCTTGGTGTATGTCTGACTGGTTTGATCAATATCCTGTCATTTAGTTTTGTTAGTCTCTCAACATTTAAATACTTTTTTCTAGGATTTGTCATCACTGGCCGTCCTTTGTTTCAGTGTCTGATGTGTGTTGAGCGTTACCTGGCAGTGGTTCATCCTGTAAACTTTCTGAAGTGCAAACCTCTCAGATATAGAGTAATCTGCTGCGCTGCAGCCTGGATAACTATTCTTGGCTCCTGTTTTCTGTGCCTGTTATTTTCTGACGACTTCGAACTGACATTGTTTTTGTCTGTGCAGTTCCTCATCTTCCTCTCTATCCAGTTGTTTTGTCTTGTGGCTGTTCTTAGAGCTCTGAAGCAGTCAGGCCCAGGGGAGAGAGGGAGAGAGAAGGAAAACTGCATGAAGAGAAGAGCATTTTGTCTCATTCTAATAACTACTGTGAGCATGGCTATTATGGATGTCCCATATATAGTCATCGGATTTGTTACAGTTCTGAAAAAACTGATTATTAGGGCACTTTGGTCCATTGCTTTGATTTGTTATGTGCTGGCTGGTTTTGTTCAGCCTGTTCTTTATCTGCACCGGACTGTAAAACTCCCACTTTCTTCAAAATGATAAAGTGTTTGATTCTACTAAAATGGGTAAGGTAAAGCAGCTGAATAATGGCTCCAAATATTTGTTTACTGTGTCCAAGAACACAGATTTTTGTGTTGTATAATTAACATGCTAAACATTAGCCTCACATTAAGTTGTTTTTAAATATATAGTACATTTTGTGGAACTCATTGGGTTTTGTATCCATTATTTTTAAAATGCTGATTAAAGTTTTTATTTGTATTATTATTATTTTCTTTTTGACAGCAGTAGTGTTTGAGTCGGCAGGTATTGATTGGATATAGTATAAAAATGATTTTGAACATTTGATGTTTAGTTGAAATAAAACATTTGATGTTTAGTTAAAATAAAAGCATTTAGGCTATTGTAAAAAAAATGTTTTAACTGATATTTTAGTGTTTTATTGTTATAAAATAGAATAAACTTTTACAAATTCAGAATATCTTCAAATTCTGTTAAACGAAAGTTAGAGACGTAAAGTTGCAGAGATTAAAGGAAACAATTCTTAACCGACTGTAACCAGTTCCCTGAGATAGGGAACGAGGCGATACGTCGATGGCGCTTTGGGAACGCCCCCAGTGGGAATTAGTCTGAAACATCTATACTAATCCAATGGAAAGAATGAGGGTCACGGGTGGGTGACGTCATGGCCAGGAAGAGATTAAACCCCATCAGGAGCAAACCGGCATTAACTTTGAAAATTATCCGAAGCATGTTGATTGCAGGGTTGCAGGAAGTATGGCTGGGCGACACATCGTCTTGTTCCCTATCTCAGGGAACTATGGTTACAGTCATAACCTGAGACATTCCCTTTCAAGGAAACTTGCAATGTGTCTATGACGCTTTGGGAACTAGATTACCCAAATCGGCAAACTTTCAAGAACCTGAGTGTCAGCCTGTTGTCAACCAAGCACTAAGTACCTATGCCCTGGGGCAGCATTCAGGTCCAAGCCGTAAAACCTCACGAATGTAAACGGTGAAGACCAGCCCTTTGCATCACAAACGCCTTGGAGAAACCCCAAATAATAAGACTTTAGAAGCCGCCTTACTCCTCGGAGAGTGAGCTCTGACTGCCAAAGGTCATGGCTGGTTAGAGGACTCGTAAACAAGTGAAATAGCCTTGCCTATCCACTTGCTATATCCACTTCTCCACAGAGAAGTCTGATGAACGTGTCCAGTGATCGCACTTGACAAAAGAGGTTCAGCATTTCCTGGTCCGAGAGGTAAAAGGAGGAGGACAGAAACCAGCAGCACAATAGGCATCGGAATCATGGTCGGCACCTTAGGGACGGATCCCTGTTTTGGATACAAGAATGCCTTGACCATCCCCATTGCAAACTCAAGGCAAATGGGAGAAACCGAAAGGGCCTGAAGGTCTCCAACTCTTTTGAGGGACGAAAAAGCGAGCAGAAAGATGGTCTTAAGAGTAAGACATTTTTCTGAAACTGAATCTAAGGGCTCGAATGGCTAATTGGGGCTCTAAGGGCTTCTAGGACTATTGCAAGGTCTCAAGCTGTCACACTAGTGTGAATACAGACCTCAGCCTCAATATGCTACGAAGGAAATGAGTAATCAGGGGGACTCGAGATGTACCACCCACCAGGGCTTGGAAAGCTAAAATGGTTGCCACGTAGACCTTGAGCATGGAAGGACATAGACCTGACATAAAGCGCTCTTAAAGGAACTTGAGTACTGTGTTTACTGAACAGTTACTGGATCCCACTGATGCTGGTGACACCCCGAAGAAAAACTCTCCATTTAAGTGCATAAAGTTTACTCCTAGTGGGAGCTCTGGAGCTTAGAATGGTCTTAACAACCTTGTTTGAGAGACCACTGTCCATGAGTTGAGCCCCCACAGAGGCCAAACCCACTGTTTCCAAATCTCTGGCCGGGGGTGAAATATTGTGAAAGAAGGTCTCTCCTCATCAGGATCTCCAAGGGAGGGCCATCGAGGAGATGAATGAGGTCCGCAAACGGAATTCAAATCCTTCCATCCTTGCTGATTGACTCCAGAACTCCGGGGAGCAGAGCAACAGGGGTAAATGCGTACAGACGCAGCTTTGGCCACGTCTGAACCATAACATTTAGCCTCAAGGGGGCTGGTTGATTAAGGGAGAACCAGAGTAGACGGTGCGTCGTATGCTGAGATGCAAACAGATCCACTTCTGCCTGGCCGTAAAAGTCCCATATTTGCTCCACCACCTTGGGGTGGAGTCTCCAGTCCCATGGCCTCAGCCCCTGCCTCGACAGGGTGTCTGCTCCTATATTCTGGCCCCCTGGAATATACATTGCCCTTAGAGAGAGAGATAAGAGACCACCGATGTGACCACCAAGCACATGATGGCCCCTCAGGTCTGGAAGGAAATGTCTCAACGCATTGAAGACAGCCATCATCATCATCAGCCAGCAGCCATATCACCCTGTAGCCCAAGACTGGTTGCCCATTAAAGCTAAGCAGGGCTGAGCCTGGTTAGTACCTGGATGGGAGACCTTCTGAGAAAGCCAGGTTGCTGCTGGTAGAGGTGTTAGTGTGGTCAGCAGGGGGTGCTCACCCTGTGGTCTGTGTGGGTCCTAACGCCCCAGCAAAGTGATGGGGACACTATGCTGTCAAAAAGAGCACCGTCCTTCGGATGAGACGTTAAACCGAGGTCCTGACTCTCTGTGGTCATAAAAAATCCCAGGATGTCTTTCGTAAGAGTAGGGGTGTAACCCCGGCATCCTGGCCAAATTTGCCCACTAGCCTCTGTCCATCATGGCCTCCTAATCATCCCATATACACCAATTGGCTTCATCACTGTCTCCTCTCCACCAGTAAGCTGGTGTGTGGTGAGCGTTCTGGCGCAATATGGAGATATCTGTAATTCAGTTTTGACTAGGAAAAACTGAATTATGGATTTCTGCTATGACGTCATTGAAAACAACATTCAACTCGTCACACATCTCAAATGACAATTGCAGATTTCTGTAATTCAATTTTGACTAGGCAGAATAAAAGTTAAAGATATACGTCCATGTATGGCAAGCCCTTTTAACATTTAAAAGCTAAGTTTGACTATCCATAATTAACATTGTAGATATCAAAGTCTTTCTTACTATTCGCAATTACATTTTGGATAGTTTGTATTATCATTTAAGTTATCTGTAACGTAATTGTGACTAGTTGAAACGACAGATAGAGATATCTGTAATTCAGTTTTGACTAGGAAAATAACTAGGAAAAAATATCTTTTTAGAAAGAAATTCAGAAATTATCCACATTTCTGACACTGGCCAGCACACCTGGCGCTCAATCAACACCGAATATGCAAATTAGGTTACTAAAGGAACCAGGGTTGTGGTGCCACTGGCTTGGGCCCGTAATTGGATATATATATATATATATATATATATATGTGTGTGTGTGTGTGTGTGTGTGTGTGTGTGTGTGTGTGTGTGTGTGTGTGTGTGTGTGTGTGTGTGTATATTTCTCCTTGTGTCTGCAGTCCTGTGGTGTTTCGTTGTCGTATGTACCTGGTGTGTTACTCCTTGTGTTGTGTCAAGTCAAGTCAACCATCATCTCTGTCCTCGCTCCTTTCACCACCACCACCACCTGAGAGTTTTTAATAAACCCTTTGAATTATTATTATTATTATTTTAAATCACAGGGCCATCTCAGTAAGAATGTTTACCTTGTGACCATCTAAATTCTGTTTGGGATGGGGAGGTTTTGTTGTTGACCCAGTGTCATCTTTCCCTTATGGAGGCTTTTCATTGATGTTGCATTAAACTTGACGTCCTGTCATAACACGGACGATTAAATTGTTTGTTCTCTCTCCTTTTCAAATGCTTGGTATAAAAATTTGCATATTTGGTGTTGATTGAGTGCCAGGTGTGCTGGCCAGTGTCAGAAATATGGATAATTTCTTTAAAGATTTATGGACTATAAATTCTATTGATAAATACTATTGCTTTTTCCATTGTGTATATAAATAAAAAAATAATAAAAAAAAAACACATTCATTTAGCTGGTGTGAGTCTCAGTTTTTCTGTGAAGACCACCCAGCAAACAAATTTAAGTTCTGGGAACGTTCATTCCCAGAACGTTTCTAGAACTTTCCCTTAAGGTTAAGGGAACATTTCTCCTTACGTTATAAAAATGGAACCTAAAAATAACCTACATGTAACGTTCCTTTAACGTTCTTGTTTGGTTCCCAAAAAAATAACCTCATGGGACCATTCATGTTAGAGGAACGTTCTGTGTTTGCTCGGCAGCTTGTAAAATGTTGTTTGGTGCACAATTTTAAAGTCAAATCAACTCGGTCAAAATCTGGAGAAATTTTAAACAAAAAAGATGGTCCTGTAAAATTATACACACACAAGACAGCAGATAAATTCATGACAAAAGGTGTCAACCAAACACAATTTAGTGTTCATCCTTCTAAAAATAAAATAAAATAAAATAAATATCTAAATAAATTGAAATATTACTGAGCTTCTAGTGGGATCCTTACCTGGGAAGAATTTGGATTCAGTGCCAGAATGGGAAAGGTGATTTACATTGGCATAGGTTACAAGTGTCACCAGTATCGGTTGGACTAAAAGTCTCTCTGGCGAGTTAAACAGGGTTCATAAAAGTTATTATCAGATAATAATTATGCTGATGAGGCCACCATACTAACTTTTACTCCATTAGTTCATTGCCATCGCATTGTTTCCAGCCTATGGTTCCAACAGCTTATTCAATTGGAGACACATGGAACAAGTTATGCCCAGGATAAAAAAAAAAAAAAAAACATTAACTTTATTTTTATTCCTCATGCATTTCAATTGTTTTATAAATGAATTATATGATACATGCATTGATTGTGTGATGTAATTTAGGTTGTTTCTAATAGAAAACTGTCGGTTGCTTTAATGTCCCACAAAGATTAATGAAATAAATCTTAATTTAGTCCAAGTGAATGTAAATTGATTTATTTATTGATTTTTTTTTTTAAATATAGTTGAGAACGGGCTGTTGTCTGAGTAAGTGTTAGGTTTGACGTATTTCAGGATGTGCTGCTAAAAGGAAAAGGAAATGTTCTCCTTTTTCGTACAGGCAATTTCATGCCTTAAACTTAAAAAAAAACTTGAGAAAAGAAAAAAAATTCTCTTGATTTAGTTTTGTAAGTAAATGTCAATAAAATATTGCAAGCTTTCAATTTCTTTTCTGTTTAAATGTTTACTAAGTCAGTGTCTTTCTCTCGCTCTCAATCATTTTATATTTTCAATTTTTGCATATCTGGTGTTTCATGTGACGTGTAGGAGATGTTGTGCTCATATATTATTGTGACAGCTGTGAAGTCAGTGTACAAAACAACAGCACAGAGATTTATACGCATCCAGAGAAACTGGACATTCACTCTTCAGGTGATAAACTCAATTTTTTTTAAATCAGTTTCTTGGTTTATGCCTTAACAAAATGCAAAAATGTTGCTGTTTTTCAATATTGTCAAAGGGCATGTATTTTTTTATAGCAGTTTAAGCTCTGTTTATTTGAGTTTCAATTGAAAACTTTCTTGAAGTACATATTGGTTCATTTATACTTCTGTTTTTTCCTCTTTTTCATATGATCTGTGGGTTATTAACACAGAGGAAATGAATAACTCTACAATGAACTTCACCACAACTGAGGCATCAAACTTAACAACTCATTCCATTGGGTTAATGGACTATCTTGAAATCTCTGTGTACAGCATCAATCTCCTGTTTGGTTTCCCTACACACTGCTATATTATATGGCTCATCATCACAGGAACAGGAAGTGGAGTCGCATCAGAGTTCTTCATCCTCAATCTCTCTGTTTGTGAGCTTGGAATCTGTCTGAATAGTGTGGTCTTTGTATTATCAATTTGGTTTCCAACTTTTTCAAGTTTTTATCTATTTTTAATAGGCCTTTCCTTCACTGGCCGTCCTGTGTTTCAGTGTCTGATGTGTGTTGAGCGTTACCTGGCAGTCGTTCATCCTGTAACCTTTCTGAAGTACAAACCTCTCAGATATAGAGTGATCTGCTGCGCTGCGGTCTGGGTTATCAATTTAGTCTCTTGTTTGTGTAGCCTGTTCAATTTAAGCTCACCAAACAGATATATACATAGATGGCTCTCGACGATGCTAATGATACTAATCGTCTCCATCCAGTTGTTTTGTGTTGTGGCTGTTCTCCGAGCTCTGAAGCAGACCGGACCAGGAGAGAGAAAAAGAGAGAAAAAGGAGGAAAACCACATGAAGAGACGAGCATTTAATATTATTCTAATAACTACTGTAAGCATGGTTATCCTATATGTTCCAAAGATAATCACAGGATTCTCTGAAATTCACGCACAATCAGACAATTCTCCGGCAAGATGGTTTACTTCTTTGACTTTATTTATCATTGCTGGTTTTGTTCAACCTGTTCTTTTTCTGCATCGCACTGGAAAATTTTCCTGCCTCTGTTCGTCATAAAATGTGCAGTACTAGATTAAGTTAATCGTGCAAATTATTGATAAATTTTGATAAAGTACACTGTGAAAAAATATTGATGGTTTAACTTAAAAAAGTAAGTAACCTGGGTTGCCTTAAAATTTTAAGTTCATTGAACTGGAAAAAGTGGGTCGATACAATGAAGGAGAATGATTTAATCATCAGAAACTCAAAATTATGTTATCTGAACTAAATAAATTATTTAAGTTGATTTGACAAAAGAAAATATGTTGTGATAACAAATCTTGAAAATATTTTTTTTACAGTGTAGAAATGCAACACATATAGGAACAAGTACATTTCTGATGATTGTGACTACAGTGCAAATATACATTTGTCATCTCTTTCAGAATAAATAGTCCTGGTCATGGTTTACATTTCATAATTTAATAGATTCTGAAGATCTGCATAGTAGGTGTTTCGGTTTTCATTTTCAGAAAGATTGTTTGTGACATTCATTGTTCCGTTCATAATTTCTCCTTTAAAAGCTTGATTGACATTTTGTTAAATTTTCTTTTATTGTACGTTTATGAACCATTTATCACATGGGTTTAAATGAGATAATACAATAAAACCAATTTAAAAAGAAATGAGGCACTGTCATAACTTAAGATTATGATCTTGAGATCTATTTATCTATTTTATTTAGTGTTGTTTTTGTTGTTGTTGTTTTTTTTTTCATTTAAAAACAGGCATTACAACATTTGCTTATTTTTGCATACCTGGTGTCAAGCTGTGAAGCCAGTGAACAAAACACATCACAGAGATGTACAGTATACACATCCAGAGAGACTGACATTCACTCTTCAGGTGATAAACTCAGTTTGGTTTGACTTAAGTACACCTTTCCATTTGGATCTCTCCATTTGTTGAAAGCTTCCCGATGTTGACTCTCATCTTATTCTGACACCTGGCACTAGACAAAAGTTTTATTTTCTTTGTCTTGGGGTTTGCGTTGGGATTTGGAATAAACTACAAGCCGGTCTCTTTGAACCCATCTTCTACTTTTGATGAAAGTTGAGTTAAGTTGTGTCGCTTGTGTTGTCTTCGCTGATATGGAGAATGGCGGCGAATACACAAACCTGCCAGACATAGCCAGGTGAGCGTGAACGCGCATGATGGTATTTTTAACAAGAAATGTTGCGCAACACACCTTTAACCAGGCCCCCAAGGCCCTCGGCCTCGTCCTGCTCTCCACATAAGTTAAGTTGTGTAATGATGGGCTGCAACCTTACTCCGCTTCCTTTTCACATTCTTCTTTTTATTGTATTCCCTTTCATAGTTTTTGTAATTGAGATATCTTACAATTAGGAAGATTGCATTTCCTGCATTGTGTGTATAACTCAGCAGATGTTTTTTTGGGGCTAATTCATTAGTTATCCCACAAAGAATTTAACCAATAACACATTTTTTGTTGTTGTTGTGTTGCAAAAAAAGGCTGCAATTGTTGTTGTTTTTTTTTTTTTTTTACGTTTTGGTTGGCTCAGCTGTATGAGAAAAACATTTGGGAATTTTGTGCACAGCGTTTGAAACAATGATGCCTGTGATTTGCAATTTGCATGTAATGAAGGAAAATGTGCAATGTTGGGACAGTTACAAAGTGTTTTAGAGAACACTAGAGACCTGAGTTTGAACATGCAATTTGCTTAATTCAATAAGACATTTAAATCTGATGTGAACAAGAAACTGTTAGTGTTCAGAGATCTGAACTGTTTTGAGAAAAAACGTATCATTTGAGATTTGAGTCAAAGCGACTGAGAAAAACTTTAAACTACTGCTCCCTGCTGGCTTAACATGAGAACATTAACGGCAGGTCCATTGTTTACACTCAGAGGGCGCTTTATATTATTATTTTTTTTTAATTTATCAGTGATCGCAAACATCACTGATTGACTGTTGACACATTCTGCCATTGAGCGCTGAGAAAAGTAACATTGCAAATAGAAAGTAAAATAGGAAAATAGTTTTTTAGATGAATCGAGCATTACTAGTCAAACAGTACTGTGAGATTATTTTTTATTACGTTAATAATTATTTAAAACTCAATTTCTTGTAACGGTCCTTTGTGTTTGTATATTTTATATTTCTAATATATATGTATAGCACTGCATCTGATGTTATTTTCGCACCCTAAAAGAGAAGAAAGCGAAGAAGAAAAAAAGAAGAGAAAAGGAAACTATAAATCTCACCCCGTCATCGTGACGTCATGTAACAATACGGAAGTGAAACTATCGCTTCTGTACCTCAAACAAACTGATGGTGCTGTACTGTACTTGTACGACTATCCTGTCCCGAAAAAAATAACTTGTTTAGTTTTGCACTGGTTGAAACTAAGCAAATGCATGCAGAAGTGTTGCCATTCAATTTTCTGTCGTGTTTCTTTAGCATAAAAGCCCGAGCAGGTGTATAAAAACAGCAGTGTATTGTAATTGTTTACTGTTGTGTATGGTGTGCTTTAAAGAAAGAAGAACAACAGCTGTAAGCAGCATTTTTTCTGTCTAAAGCCATTTTTTTTACAGTTTATGGTCTGAAGCTGATATTATGGATCAATACTCATTAGTGAGAGTCATTGGCGAAGGATCTTTTGGTCGAGCTCTCTTGGTTCAGCAAATAAACGAAGAGAAGCAAAATTATGTAATGAAGGAAATACGACTGCCAAAGGTAATGCTATCGGAATAATAATAATTACAAATGCAGTCTGTACTGATTGTATTTCTGTTCTATATTGTGTTGATGTTATACAGATGTCATGCATTTATTATAGGCTGAGGCTGGGATGAGGAACAGCAGAAGAGAAGCAGTGCTTCTGTCCAGAATGAAGCATGCAAACATTGTGGCATTCAAAGACTCTTTTGAAGGTTTGTCAAGGTTTAAGTGTTTTTATATACTGACTCCAACTTCACAAGATCAATGGAACACATGATCTCTTTCTCTCTCTCTCTCTCTCTCTCTCTCTCTCTCTCCTCTCTCTCTCTCTCTCTCCAGCTGATGGTCATCTGTACATAGTGATGGAGTTCTGCAGTGGTGGAGATCTTCTTCAAAGGATACGGCAACAAAAAGATATTCTGTTCTCCGAGGATGTGGTATGACATAGACGATAGTTGCCTTCTCAGATTAATTCTAAGAAGTCAGGTTTATTATACAAGAATGGGTCTAGTCATATTTCAAATACTGTATACACTGTATATTTATATATATTTTTTTATATTTCAATTTGGCTGCATTTGGCAGACGCTTTTATCGAGAGACTTTTACAATTACATTCTTATGAGTTCTTGCTTTCCCTGGGAATCAAACCCATGACCTTGGCGTTGCAAGCACCATATACGTATTACATAGGTGCTTTATATAGGTGCACTAAACAAGACAAATCATACATACATACACCCTATTTTACTGCTATTCATATTTGATATGTTATTTACATAACAATTAAGCACATACTCCCTCCCCGATTTGCATTACTGCAATGTAAACTGCAAAAGAAACAGCTATAATAATAATAAAGATATTATTTCATTTTTAATGTATTTATACATAATACTTGTATTTTTACTGCTTTTAATGTAGTTTATTATTGTATAAATACAATATACAGTGTAACATTTTAGTAAAAAAAAAAATTCCATTAAATTATAAATAAAAAGTGAAGCAAAGAAGAGCATTGAATATTGCGTGATAAGAATGTTACACATCCAGTATAAGGATAAAGGGGAAAAAAGAAGTCATAAATCTAAAAATGCAAAAAGGTGTCTTCAAAATAATGTCACATAAAATAAAAATTTACATTTTACGTAAATATATTTTCTTTATTTCTTATTTTAGAAAAGTAAAATTGAAATAAAATGCCAAAAAAAAAAAAAATGATATAATTGTGGTACAGTTGTCAGTAGAATATAGCTTATTGTTTTTGGTTTTTGGAATGAGTACTTACTTGAACCTGATAGTAGATTTTAAATGATCCAGAATAATTAGGAAATGCGCGTTTTGTTTTAATGTCATCTCTCGGCTGTAGATCCTGAAGTGGTTTACACAGATGTGTCTAGGCACCAAACACATTCACGACAAGAGAGTACTTCACAGGGACTTAAAATCAAAGGTGCGTATCACTTTGTGTCTGGTCACACACACAATGTTAACTAGTTACTTGAAAAAATCTGATTACCTAACTCACATTACTGGTATGTCTACAATGCTAATTAATATTTGGAAGAAGAAGAAAAAAACATTTGTCTGCCTAAACAAAGTTGTGTGGTGCAACAGATGGCAAAAACTAGGTTTTGTATAAATAAATAAAAAAAATATATATATAAAATCGCAACATCTAGAGACCTGGTTTTAGTTCCAGTGCTGTGATTGGCTGTTGTAGGCCAGTGGTTTCAGATCAAAATTTCGAATGGAAAGATGAGATATAAGTAGAAGAATGGATTAATGCTAGTTTCTTTCCCATTTCCATTGCAGAATATTTTCTTGACAGACGGTGGAACTGTAAAGGTGGGGGATTTTGGTTCGGCTTGCACTCTTAACAGGTATTCAGCCACATGTCTGTCATTCGTTTACAATTCAGTGCAAGAACACGGCCATGTGAGTGACACGTTTCGATATGCACTCATTTTACATGTATTTCTGCAGTGCAAAAGCATTCGCTCAGACCTATGTGGGCACTCCGTATTACGTGTCTCCAGAGATATGGGACAACAAACCTTACAATAATAAAAGGTACAACTTTCCTGACAATAATTCCTTCAGATTGACATCAGCTTTACCTTTTAAAATACATTTGGACTAATGTGCGTGTATATTACAGTGACGTTTGGTCTCTTGGCTGTGTCTTGTATGAACTTTGCACCCTCCAACACCCGGTATTTTCTCTTGACATTCTCAAATTGTATAGTTGCAATGACTTTATGCATCAGACGGTGTAAAGAGTTGTGTGCTTTAGATTATTAAGGAGTTTATTCAGTTTCATCTTCATCAGTTTCAGGCTCGTAGCTGGAAGAGTCTGATCTTGAAGGTGTGTCGAGGGACGTACGCACCCTTACCCAGTCACTTCCCCTATGAGCTGCACTACCTCATCAAACACATGTTTAAGACTAACCCCAGAGACAGACCCTCAGTACACACTATCCTCAGCTCTCACCGCGCGTCCCGACTGCTGCAGAAACACCTGATGCCAGAGGTACACTTGGAAAACACTTCAATGTTTTATGGAGCTATTGTAACAAATTAGAAATAAAAAAACAAGTCATTGTAACAAAATTACAAACAATTTCTGTAAGGCCGTGAGTCTACTAAAGCATTTTTAGCCAGCTGAAAACGCCAGACGCTCTGCTGAAGTGCTTTGGGCGCTTAAGAGCGTTTTATCAGCGCAGCGTTTTTTCCGTTGAGACGTTTCGTTGCTATGAGACAGAATATCCGCAGCACAATTTACTTGTTGTAACTGATAATTTTTTTCATACTAAAAAATTTATTTTTCAACAATTTTGTTCGGTTAACTCTGTTGGTTGATGTCGTTGTACAGAATGAATTCTGTGACAGTTGGTCAGTGTGGTTCAGTCCCGCCCCTCCTCCACTGTGATTGGACGGCTGGGTAAAAAGCGACAGTGATGAGCGCTGCGTTTTATCCAAAGTTGAACATTTTTCAACTCTCGGCAACCAGAAAAAAACGCTGGACGCTTTGTTACGCTCATGGCGTTTAAAAAATGTGGTGCTCCTATTGAAAACATTTGAAAACAAATCGTAGATGTTACGATTTGTAGACTTGTAGATGTTACGATTTGTAGACTTGTAGATGTTACGATTTGTAGACTTGTAGATGTTACGATTTTTTTTTTTGCCTGAAACTTGAAAAAACTCATACGGCAGGCGCGTGGAAAAACGCTTCGGTGGACACACGGCCTAAGGGTCAATCCAGTCAGCAGCTTATAAAAACAAAACACTATAAATAGAAGTCTGTAAAAAAAAAGTTTAAGTTTAAAAAAAAGTTTAAAAGTTTTTTTAAAAACAAAAAACTGTTGTTATCATTAAAGTGCATAAGTAAGAATATAAATAGATAGTCCATTGATAAATGAGTGGTAAACGAATACTGGTGGCAAGTATGTGATTTTTAGTGAGATTATACATTCATCATTTTCATTAGATCATAATTTTGCCTGAAACTTGAAAAACTGTATTAAGGCTCTCCTATCCATGTCATCCAAGATGTCCATGTCTTTCTTTCTTAAATCGAAAAGAAATTAAGGTTTTTGATGAAAACATTCCAGGATTTTCTCCATATAATGGACTTCAATGGGAACCAAACGGTTCAAGGTCCAAATGAGAGTTTCAGTGCAGCTTCAAAGGGCTTGAAACGACACCAGACGATGAATAAGGGTCTTATCTAGGACCCTTCGAGTCATGACTTGAAAAAAAGATTTTTTCATTTTGATAAATCGAGTTTGAACAGGAGAGTCACGAACGTGCATCACAGAAGAGAGCAAGGCGAGCATTTATGCTTATAAAACTTGACTTTATAATATATATTTTTTTAAAATGACCGATCATTTGCTTGATAAGACCCTTATTTATCGTCTGGTGTCGTTTAAAGCCCTTTGAACAGTTTGCAGTTTGCTCTGAAACTGTCTTTTGGACTTTAAACCGTTTGGTTCCCAGTAAAGTCCATTATATGGAGAAAATCCTGGAATGTTTTCATCAAAAACCTTAATTTCTTTTCAACTGAAGAAAGAATGACATGGACATCTTGGATGACATGGGGGTGAGTAAATTATCAACAAATGTTTTTTTTAAAAGTGAACCACTCTTTTAACAACATAAAAGGGGAGACCCTAACTTTCCCCAAACAAAGTAAAAGTAAAGAACAAGTACCTACTCTGAGAGAATGCGATTTTAAAGCCTAAGTCTCTTAAAAAATATCAAATACTTTAACCTTTTATCTTTTGATAAGGTCATATGTATATGTATATTTACATATATTTACAAAACAAACTAAGGAAAAGATGTGATTGCTTTGATGGTTAGACCGCATGACATCAGAAATTTTTTTTGGGAAATGGCTTTTTAAAACTACATTAAACACATGGATAAACTAGATCGAGCTTTTTCTTTTCTTTATCACATTACTTAGATTACATTGATGATCATTTACAGCAGCTCTTAATTCCTCTCTGCGTTTTGCTGTGCAGCAAAAAGAACCGGTGGGAACACGAACACGCCATTGGAGAAAAGAGGAAGGGGAGAAAGTGGCCATGTTTTTGGGCCAGAAGAGTTTATTGACCACATCTACCACTGAAGGTACACTTGCTGCAAGTTAATATTCCTAATTTTAGTTCAACCTTCACCTGTAGTGAATCAACCTAACTAACTTATTGATTTGTGGTCAGGAGCTTTGCAAGTAGGACAGTCCCGTATGGAAAACAACAGCAGTGATGACCCAGCTTCTCGTAAGAGGTGGATCGTGTAATACAGTGCTGGGGGTCCTGGGAAATGCTGACATCATTTCCACCGGTAGCATGGACACTGCAGAACGGCCTGACCTCGTTTCAGGTACAACAACACGTGGCATTGCAGTGATTTTGTTCATGTACCATGGTACTTTTTTTTGGTAAATATCATATGGTTATCATTTAGCAGCATGGTTTTATGTATGGGAAAGCAAAAGGGAATATGAAGTTAATTCTATTTATCATTTTTTGTCTCCATCATTGATCAAATGGCGGTTAGTGGCTCAGGGTAGCGCTGATGTACGTGTGTGTAGTGTCAGTTCTTGCGTCCTCTGATTGTGTTACAGAGGCCGAGGGTGTGGAGACCCAGCGGAGACGAGTGAGGAAACAATGGGACAAAGATCCACCGGAGAGACTCCTGAGCGTTTTGGAGAAAGCGCAGCTCTGCTACGGCTTTGAGACGTACTCTATACACAGAGACGGTCAGTCTGCTAACATCACATACATCAGGGAACAAGAGTTTATGACATTAATAACAGCTGACTAAAGGCCCCGATATACTTAAGCGATATCGAAGTACGAACTGGTGTGACGTCATTCTGAACAAATTCTGGCCTAAACAAAGAAACAGCTTCCCAAAGTGAACTTTCCGGAAAAGCTACGGCTTGTAAACAACTACTATAGAGAGCCTAAGTCCCTCCCCTTCCGGTCGACCACCATGGGACCTTTTTTCGGAAAAATATTGTAAGGTAGTCAATGGCGAGAAACAACAAATATTTTGATCTGGTTTGAATTGTGCCCTGAATTACACATATGATGTTTGTCAATTTAAAAGATACATTTTCAAGTAAAGAAATTCGCAGTATAAGACTAACTGTGAAAATACGTAATTACAAAGACTACAAACCCCAAAGGCGCACATTTTCTCTCAATGAATGAGGCTAACTTTACTGAGGCTATTTTCTGTCATTGTTTCTATAGACTTACGTTATAATCGTAACCTAATGCCGTCATGCCTGAGTGTTTTTTACCAGACTGCACACACAAAAGCAGCGGATCTTGCTCGTTGTTTTGCTTCCTGGGAGATGTATTTCTTTGAGCGAATTTCACATAAAACTCAATGTTACTTTTCTGTTTTATGACAAACTGCGACGTTTTTGACTTTCAGAGTTATCTTTTAAATTGACAAACATCATATGTGCAATTGAGGGCACAGTTCAGACGGAATAAAAAGATAAGTTGTCTCTCACCATTGACTTACCACACATTTCCGAAATAAGGTCCCATGATCCAGAAGCGGAGAGGCGGGACTTAGGCTCTCTATTGGTCAGTGGTGATGATGTAATAGGTGGCTTCATTCCTTTTTTTCCGTTGAGATCAGACGTCCGCTAGTAAACACAAACACCCGAGAGCCGCTATATAGGACAAAATATAGCTGTAATTCTAATTGAAAGACACACTGACACTGTTTGCTTTTAAACTATCAAGAGTATACAGTTACTTTACAGGAGGGCCGTGAAGAAAAAAACACTTTTTTTTATTTATACTTAAATTTCTGACATATTTTATGCTTCACATGACTGCTGTTCAATAGTTTAGGTGACGTTTTTGACATGTGTCTTCTGCTCATCAAGGCTACATTTATTTGATGAAAAATACAGTAAAGACAGTAATATTGTGAAAATAATATTACATAACAATTTAAAACAACATAGCAAAATAATATAACAATTTAAAATAACAATTTCTATTGTAATATATTTTAAAATGTAATTTATTCCTGTGATCAAAGCTGAATTTTTAGCATCATTGATTCAGATTTCAGTGTCACATGATCCTTCAGAAATATGCTGATTTAATGCTAAAAAACATTTATTCCTTCTGAAAATCTTTCACGATTCTTGGATAAAAAGAAAGATCAAAAGAACAGCATTTATTTTGAAATAGATTTTTTTTTTTCGTTGTAAAAGTTAAAATGGTAAAATTCTATATCAGTTGAAATGTCCTTGTTAATTAAAAGTATGAATTCATTTATTTCTTTGATCAGTGTTTACCCTTTTAAAAAAAGCACACTTGTGGCCTACGCTCACATTTCACTCCCTGTAGGTGTTTGATATTGTAGATAAATATTATCTCTTGACCTATCATGTCAGGAAAGACTAAAGTTCATTAAGTTTGCATGCATGCAATGCGGTCAGAAATTCTCTACAAACGCCATCTTAGTAAAATCCCAAAACGTTTTTGTGAGTCAATATCATAGTGACCTAAATCTGAATCTGATAACATCTACAGCAAAGTGGAGTAGAAAAAATAGTCTTTTATTTCAATGCATTAGACACAAACTATCAAAGCAAGATACATTCATTTTAAAGTAGCCCAAACACTCACTTTTCAAACAAAATAATAAATTAAATTGGGCAGCCTAAGGCGTGAGTACAACGCAGAAGTATAAATTGAGCTTTACTCATTGCGCATTATTTAGCGTTTAATGTAATCTTAGTGTACATGGGAAACCATGGCATGACCAAACCTAAGCTACTATCAGAGAAGTAACGTTAGTCGACTTATATCTGTAGTAGTGGTCATGACCTCTGACTACATAGACTGTTTCTGCTGCTCCCTGATAAAAGATAACCTGTTGATACCTGTTCAGAAAAAAAAAAAGAAAACTGGACTCGTTTTAACAAGCTAGATAAAAGGTAATGTCCTGGCAGTGGCAAATAGCTTTGTTTTAGTATTTGATTTGATTACATTAATGTTTAAGTTGATTTACAATAATAAATATGTTATTGATACTGTGTAAAGAGAATACTGCTGGTATAAAGCACCTTATTTGTTTAAAGTTTTTTTCAAACCACATGTTATTGCACTTTTGTGTATATAGCAGTACATTTAAATCAATACAGTACTTTAGAATTCATTATTCAATTTTGCGTGTAACAACGTGATTAATCACGATTAATCGCATGATTTTCTTGCGAACAATCGTGATTAATCACATTGTTTCACGGAAAAAAACAATGTGATTAATCACGATTAATCACATTATTTTCTTGCGATTAATCACATTGTTACATGCAAAATACACTACTTTAAAGAATTCATAATTCAATTCTACTCAACAATGTGATTAATCACGATTAATCGCATGATTTTCTTGCAATTAATCGTGATTAATCACATTGTTACACGCAAAATACACTACTTTAGCATTCATAATTCAATTCTGCGCAACAATGTGATTAATCACGATTAATCGCATGATTTTCTTGCGATTAATCATGATTAATCACATTGTTACAGTACATGCAAAATACACTACTTTAGAATTCATTATTCAATTTTGTGCAACAATGTAATTAATCACGATTAATCACATGATTTTCTTGCGATTAATCGCGATTAATCACATTGTTACACGCAAAATACACTACTTTAGCATTCATAATTCAATTTTGTGCGTAACAATGTGATTAATCACAAGAAAATCATGCGATTAATCGCAATTAAAACTTTTAATCGTTGCCCAGCACTAAATTAAATATAAAACTTTATTTTGAACAGTATGTCAATTTGTTGTTTTATTAATTTATCTATGTTTTTTTTTTAAATAAGCTAATGTTGTATTAGTTAACTGTTGTTAATGTTGTAAATGTAACACACAGCGCCTGTGCTTAATGTAATGATTTTCGCAGCAGGTTCTTCAAGCCCAGAGCCTGGAGATAAAGTGGACGGCCCTGAGGAGACTATCACAGACTTCAGTAGACTGGAGCCGCGCTCAGACGATGAAGACACGTGAGTTTCTCCTGTTTTCCCTCTCTCAGTACGGTCTCATATCTCCATTATTTCCCATAACCCTCACATTACTCTCCTGACTGCAGGGATTTTGAAGAGGAGTGTCCGTATGACTGGATTAATGAACTAGAGAAGATGGTGGAGGAACAATAGCAACTCAAGTGTGTTATTCCACATGTAAATATGCTTTATTTGTATTCGATTTTGAAGATTCTGACATAAAAGACATGAGACTGTCAAGAAAATATAACAGTAAAGTGATTTCTAATCTCAAGAGCTTGTTGTAGTTTATTCTTAAGACAGAACCGCCTTTCATATATATAAAAAAAAGACTTTCTGTTCTTTCACGTGTGATCAAACGTGTTGAGGGATGTCGTGGTGTGCTGTTTTTATGAGCCAACATCTCATTTGTAACATGTAACAATGAAGGTGTCCATGGTAGCACATTTGTGTTTAATAACAGAAATCAATCAATGTCTCATTCTTTAAAATGCATTTATGATTGTCAGACAAGTTAAGCGACTAAATACTAAATAAACAATAAAGAGAAGCATATTAATCTCACCTGTCAAGAGCATATATATATAGTTAAAACAAACCGAGCACATGAAAATAATGTCATAATTATTGATTATATTTAATTATGAATTAAATATAATTAACCAGAAAAAGCTCCATTTTATGTAGATTGTAATTTCTCTTTTTCTTTTTAATTTCAATGTGAAAAGTGACGATTAGCCTCTTTCAGCTCTTTTTCCCCTACTGTTTTGATTTTTTTCTTCTCCTTTGCCAAGAATGATTATAAAGTTCAAAAGAACAGCATTTATTTGTGAAACAATGTAAAGTCTTTACTCTCACTTTTAAAAGAAAAAGAAAAAAATTTACTGAACTTACTGACCCCTACATATATAATATATAAGCGTAATGTAACAACAGCTGTAGAAACGCACTGAATCCACTTACTAATCCTCCTGGCACACTTTTTTAAACATTTGGTCAAGAAGGTTGTAGAGAAAGTGTGTCTCTTTTCATGACCACTAGGTGGAATGCAAAATGTGCAGATGGAAGCTGTTGCAGGGAAATGTATGAGCTTCTAAAGACTTTGTAAATAAGATTGGATTTTCACCGTGCGGAAATAACCGCTGCCTACAACCTGATGAAGATCTGCTCCGATGATAAGCTTTATCCTCCCCACATCTTGAAAGGAAACCCTGTCACCGGCTCACAGAATGCAAAACACTTTTTCACATGTTACAGTAGATTTCACATAGTATTTTTGTGAGGTCACTGATATACTCTCATTCTTAGGTTGAAAGTACTTTATGCATTTTACTGCAGCACATTTTGTTTTATGCGGCAGATTATTAATTTTTAGTTTGTTTGTTTTTTTCATATATGATTTGGACCACAATGTGGAGCTGGTGTGTGCTGTACTGAACAGTAACTACATTATTTTATGCCATATTGCCAAATATACTGTATATTATACTGTACATAGTGGTCAGTTTATTATTATTATTTTAAATAAATTATTTTATTTAGAAGGGATGCATTAAATTGGTCAAAAGTGACAAAACAAATATTATACTTCTAGTTTGGTGATAATTCACCCCATTACTTATGTTTATTATGTGAATGAGTGTTGATAATGCAGTAGATGAGGAAAGAAATGCTCAACCCTTGCACTTGAAAACAAAAACCTGTTCAAACCTGTGTATAAATCCTAGTTAAATTATTCAAACTAAGGTCTCTGACGCAAGGAATGCTGTTGCCAAGGCTGAGAGGACTCAAAGTCAGTTTGCAGTTTTGCCAGCTCCGCTTGATTTACGAGTGGTCTCGGGCTGACTGTCGAGGCTCTTGGTGTGCAGATAAAAGACCCCAGTTGTGTTCTTAAGGAAATGCTGGGCCAGCGTTGAAGCCTTATCTGAAAGCCACATGGAGTGCCACAGGGACCAAGTCTAGGCCCTCTAGCCATTTTTAATATTCCTCGTTTACCTCAAGTTGAAGCTTGGTGTCTTATGAGAGACCGAGATAAACATATAAGGATGTGCATGTCAATATGATTGTAACCCATAAACTCATTCTGAAAGACCCCTGTTCCTGTTATTGTGGTTATAGGCTGCTCTATTTTGGCTTAGATGCTTAATTTCAACCCCGTATGACTTTGTACTGTAATAGTACTCTTCTGGTTTTTTTTTTTTCGTTCACTAGCAGTATAATGAATGTGGAAGGAGTCCTTCGTTTATGATGTCAAATGATGGAATGAATTATATTTAGTGTAATTTAGACATTATTGTAAGTGAGTTACGGTGAAACAGACAATGTCTAGCCAACCAATGACTCGATTAGAGCTCAGTCAGAGAAGAAGAGATGGTAGATATTGTGCACTTCAAACTGTTCTGAAAACAGCACTGAAAGGTCACCTGTGTATTATCTATCTATACTGTATGTTAGGGCATGACTTTTCAAGCAGAGACTACAGAATTATATTGAAGGAGAGACCCGAGACTTAAAGGAGTCGTATGAAAGATTGTGGCCAAAACTGGTACTGCAATCACTTTCAAATTAAGTGCCCCTTTCCCCCTTGACTCGAGGTTGCCAGATATGCTGCAGGATCCACAGGAACATAGGCGACTACAAGAAGCTTCCAATGGCAAGTGACGAGTCCTACACAGTGAGTTTTTTTTTTCTGTTAATTCGTTTTTCAGACTTTTTTACAAAGTATTTCGGATTCATATCGAGTTTTTTGGTTTTGCAACGTTAGACATTTTTTTCTCCGATTCTGACACGTTTGTATCTGCAGCTGTGGTAACTAGAGAAGAGCTGGCAACACTACTGACTCCGTAATTGGTAGATCGGTGGCGCATCAGACCAAAACACAACATGACAGCATCAATATCAGTTGAGGGCTACAACTTCACTTTTTAAATGACAATATCCTGGCTGGACTGCTGTTGCCAGTGATATAAATATTTGAAATTAAAGGGTTAGTTCACCCAAAAATGAAAATTAAGTCATTAATTACTCACCCCCATGCTGTACCAACCCCGTCAGACCTTCGTTCGTCTTCGGAGCACAAATGAAGATATTTTTTATTAAATTTGAGAGCTGTATAACTACCACATAGACTACCTAAGGGACTGCCTCTTGACGGCCCAGAAAGTCAATGAAGAAAATGTTTAAATATCCCAAGTGACTACCGTGGCTCAACTATATGTTTATCAAGCGACGCGAATACTTTTTGTGCGAAAAAAACAAACAAAAATAACGACTTTATTCGACTATTCCTTTTCTTCCTTGTTGACCTGAAACGAGACTTCCATACGATTTCCACGACGCATGCGCGAGAACTGAACTGAAGTAGTGTAAGGAGATCGTAATTCTCATGCATGCGTCGTGGAAATCGTATTGAAGTCTCGTTTCAGGTCAACAAGGAAGAAAATGAATAGTCGAATAAACTTGTTATTTTTGTTTGTTTTTTCGCACAAAAAGTATTCTCGTCACTTGATAAACTTATAGTTGAGCCACGGTAGTCACCTGGAATATTTAAACATTTTCTTCATTGACTTTCTGGGCCGTCAAGAGCCAGTCCCTTAGGAGCCTATGTGGTAGTTATACAGCTCAAATTTAATCAAAAATATCTTCATTTGTGTTTCGAAGACGAACGAAGGTCTTACGGGGTTGGTACAGCATGGGGGTGAGTAATTAATGACTTAATTTTCATTTTTGGGTGAAATAACCCTTTGATTTCTTAATAGTGACATATCAGGGAAAATGTACGATTAATTGAAATACATGTCTTGCATACAGCTCCTTTAAAGTATCAAGAATTGGGTTTGGGATCTTTTAACATTGGCCTTATATATAGAGTGGTTACATCATGTCTTTAAGCAAAGACAAATACAGTACAACCAAGTTTGCGGTGAGGTGGGAGGTGTCTTAGTTCTGATAGTTCGTAGCCATAACAAATTAGCAACATTATCAAGACAATGGATTGTTCAATCCTTTCAGAACAGTCCGAAAAAAAAAAAATTGTTCATTTTGATTTCACGGTCAATTTTGACAAATTGAACCCTTGCACGTTGAGAAAATGAACCAAAAAGAGAGAAAATCCTCTTTTTTTGTTCCATAAAATGTAGAATTATAGTTTCAACGCTAGTTTGTCAGTATGCCGTTCGTCGACTGAACGCTGCCCACACCAGCACACACACTAGCCAGTGCGCCATTAAGCATTTCCTCTGCAGGATGGAGACGTGAAGTCATGTCGTTCGAAAGAATAACAAACAAATCAGTAAAGAAAAGTTACATTGTTTTAATTGTTAGGCTGCACAATGCTCACACATTGTAGACACACAGTGTGTCTGCTGACTGGTGTCGCACTCTCTGATCCTCTGTTGCATTTTGTACAAACGTCCCGTCCCCGCTTTGAATATTTCGTAGAAACAGAAGCGTAGGGCCTGACCTTGAAGTGCCAAAACGGTTATTATAATGTGAATAAAGGTGTGAAAACCACTCAAGTGCTTTACAGATGTGTTCACGTGTTGCATGCACACATATTTAGTATCAGCCCTTTCTAAAGGATATCCTGTAACTTCTCTTCGCTTTTTAATGAGTTTAATTCATCCTTGCTGAAATGGAAAATAAAAATAAATACTTCTTTGGATTTGACTGTTATCTATATCAGCAACGTTTCTTTCTCGTTTGTCTCTGTCGGATTTTATTTTCTGCTCTTTCTCTGTCTCTTTGTCTTCCTTACGGATGGTCACACCACTCTCCCATTTAACGCCTGTCCGTGTCTGGATCAGACGCCACAGGAAGAGGATGAGTCCAGCACAGATGGACACTGACCTACTGATCTCCGATTTCTACAGACTCCATTAAGCTCTCTATTTATTTGTGTCACGACTTCTGAAATTGCAGACACAAAGCATTTATAAAATAAACTGTCTGGTCAGGTCTTCCTCTGGAAATGTTGAAATTGAACTCACTCGTGAATTTGGTCTGTTCATAGTGCTGCACAAATCCTCCGAACTTTACAGATGTTTAAATAATGTGAAAAGGAAAATCAACAGAAGGGTTCTGTTGCTGTTGTGTTTGTTGTTTTTGCATTATGATATTTATGACTTTAACTTCCATTTATTCATTTTATCCAAATGTGGTGATGGGATATTGGTGTCTCTTACCCATATTCAAGTGTTGATAAGGGGTGGTGGATAAGACACATGCCTTTGGTGTGAGAGACCCAGGTTCGAATCCACTGTGAGACACCAATGTGTCCCTG